ATAAAGAAAAAAACAAAATAAATGAGAGAAACAATATCAACTATCAAACTAATGATTCAAATTAGCGAAGAAGAAATTTTGCTACAAGTAATAAATAATTAAACATACAGAGATATGTATACGCATATAGATAAAGTATTATCACGAAAAAAATGTGGAATGTATAGTGAGTATAGAATGTGTGAGTTATTTATTTCATATTTTTCTTTCGAGGAAATTCTAATCTTGTTCCTTTTTTTAAAGTATGCCGAATGTTCGACGAACGGAATAGCAGCATCTGTTTATTTTTGCATTCGTTTAAAAGAAAAAAAAAGAGGAGTGTATGTCATGGAAATCAGGACGACGAAGGATCCAAAAGATGCATTCGAAAATATGTGTTTATATACATGTATATATGAGGATTAAGATATAGTGGTTTGGTGAAGCATTCCAATGGTGATGGTGATGGTGGTGGTTATAAAACAACAAAGAAAATAGCACAAAAATATAATGTGAACTAAAAATATTATTAAAAAGCATTTTACAACAAAAAATAACTAAAAAAACAAACAAAAATACGATTTACAATTTAAATTAAGAACAATAAGAAGATTATATAATCTACAAATAATAATATTAATAATAATATAATAATAATATTAATAATAATAATAATATAATAATAATAATAACATATAACAAACCAGTACAAAAAAAATAAAAGGGCAGACAGTTGCGAGCTAAACGTCCTCGCTTTTGCTTTCTTTTTATTCTTATAACTTCATTTCTTATATTTTTATCCTCTTTTTTGTTCCTAATTTCATTTAGTTACTATTTGTAGAATATACTTATATCACTTCGACGCTCGAAGTAGACAATACAAAAAAAAAAAAATAAAAAAGGGAAGAAAAAAAAATTAAACACTAAAGATGCACACATACGTAGCATACACACACCCTTCATTCCTCGATTTCTTTCTCTGCACACATCCATCTTAATAGGAATGAAGTTTCTCTATCTTCGATTTAATTAATTAATTTAAACGAAAGTAATGTACGCGTGGTAGCTAGCTGGCAATATTGGATCTTCTTTTTATCGATTTAGAGAACTAAGTAGGTTAATGATAATAATAATAATAATGATAGTAGTAATAGTAATAATAGTAATGAATATAATAATAATAATAGCAATAATAATACAATTGTAATATAATAATAATAATAATAATAATAATAATAATAATAATAATAATAATAATAATAATAATAGTAATAATAATAATAATAATAATAACTATAAATCAACACACACCTAACGCGATATAAATACTAATGGACATTGTGAAATCGAGTTTTGTCCTCATTGATTATGTGAAGAAAATCATATAGACTTTCATGCATCTCGCAAATTAAAAAAAGAAATGATGAAAATCGTACGCGCGCTTTTCCATACCTTTCGACGTATCTATTTAATTTATTCTTTTAACACAATAAAGATCTATCCGAGGAAATACAATGCAATCAAAATTTGTATTCAAATTGGAACAAACAAGATGATGTTGAAGATTGTGAGTTTAATTATTCCGCTGATCTTTTAAGTTCATAAATGAAAAATCGATACGGGCAAAAATAAGATTACATTGATTTTAAATAATCGACAAAGTGATAGAAAATGTGCATGAATGTGTTCGTGCGTTTGTGTCCAACAAAAACTGTCACGAAACATTTAACAGAGAAAAAAAAAAGAAATTCGAATTCATTTTTTCTCTCGAATGAATTTGAAGGATAAAAATATTTAATTTTATCAATCAAAGTCTTCAGTACGAGTTCGATCTTCCTTCTTTCTTTCAAAATACGTTAATTTATCACATTAACGATCTATAAATGATTTATTGGAAAAGAAATAAATTAACGTTGCTCACGAAGTTCTAAATAATTCCTTTTTTCAATTTATTTTTCATTTCTTTTTTTATTTTTTATAAATACGACAGTTTGTTTTAATATTCTAAATAACATTGAAACAATACCTATAAAAAGGAAGGAATAAAAAAAAAAGAAAAGAAAAGAAAAAAAAACAAAAGAAAGGAAAACATTTCCCTAACATCGTAGCAACAACGTTTTACATGACATTTAGTCTATACTATGTAAAAATCTAGGAAAAGCTCGACTTAAACGAACAAAATATAATTTTGTTTTTTTTCCAGTCCTTTGATTTAGTTGAATCAACCCCTTCCTTATTTCAAACTTAACAAATTCTTATCAAGCGGTCCAAAAATTTCGGAACGACGGCAAAGGACTTTCCGCAATTTTCGGATGAACTTAAATGATTTAGTATCTTTCAAAAAACGTGTATGATTTATTGACAATGTTGAACAAGGTATGATTCCCGCGAGCCAGCTAGCATTGTTCCACAGTTTTCTTAATGATTCACCAAACTTCTATCATTTTATTTTTCTCTTGTCTATTCCAATTTTAAAGGGAGGATTAGGGGGAGAAATTAAGACTAATCGCTCACCTTTCGCCGCGTTTTTTTTTCTCAGACGGTATGAATAAAGTATAAAAAGAAAGAAAAAAAAAAAAATGAAGAAAACCATGGTGCACAATAATGAGAGGAGAGTAATAAGTAAGATCATAGGTAAATCGAATTAATAATACTTGCGTATGCACTCATCATACATACTCTTCTCACCATACACGCGTATACACATATAATAATAAGTAATAATAATAATAATAAAAAATTAATAGCAAACATGCACGAAATCGGATTTTACGGTGGCTTCTATTATTCTTTTTCTAAGGAACCAATCCGCCATTTACTGACTCTCATCTAACAAAATATATTAATACTATACGATCGCACATAGAACACTAAAGGCAAAACTCAATGTTTTTTTTTTTTGTAACCAGTTATATTAAAGGAGAAACAAAAAAAAAGAAAACTAGGACATCGAAAAATGATCGATGAAAAAGTAAATGTAGTGAAATAGTATTATACGGAATAATTAAAAATAGAGAGACATTTTAGGAAGAAACGAACACATAGAAAATAGTAAAGAGAGAGAGAGAGAGAGAGAGAGAGAGAAGAAAGAAAGGAGATAAAAAAAACAAAGGGGTAGAGAAGGGTGTGCACGCATACTACAAAACTCTCACTAACTATGTTATAACTATAGCTACTTTTAACACCACTACACAAATTTCAGGACGTAGGTGTAAGTGTGTGAGTGAGTGTGCGAGTGAGTGAGAGGATTATCCAATGGAAAAGGAAGAATTATTGTTAACGATCATCATCCGTCGTCCTCCTTTCATTTACGTTAATTTTTTGTCTATATTTTCTTTGGAGGGTAGGAATATCTTCTCTCGTCTGATCTCTTTCTATCTTATCGCGGACTCATCTCGTCATATTGTTCGAGCCATCGCTAGTCGGAAGAATTCATTTTCTTCAATATCCAATAAAATCCCTCCTCCGTCATCCGTAAAATCATTATTTCTCTCTTTTCAACGTCAATAAGATTAAATCGGTAACGTAACGTCTATGGTAAAAAGAAAAAAAAGAGGGGAAAGGGAAAAAATTAGTAATGGCTCGAACGTTCAAATAAGTTACATATATTTTTGTTGTTGGTTGGTAACCACGCGCGTATGGTTATTTTGTTCTCTTTCTTTCTTTCTTTCGTTCGTTTTTTTTTCCTACTTACTTCCTTTTTTTTCTATTTTTTGTCAATTAGATAAAGTCCGTATCTCTTTCTTTCAAGTATCGTCATTAATACTCCACTTTTTCACGGCAATCATTTTGGGGAGAGAGATACCGATCGTTTGAAAGAAGAAAAAAAATCAAAAAAAGAAAAGATAGGGAAAGGAAGATAAGAGGGAAGGTACTTTCTCTGAAGTAAATCGTATAAAATAAAACAAACAATTATTAAAAAGAGATAAAGAAGAGTTAAGGAAAGATTCTATGATTCTAATGATTAATAATAATAATAATAATAATAATAATAATAATAATAATAATAATAGTAATAATAATAATAATGATAATAATAATACTAATAATACTAATAAAAATGATAATTGAGAGCGATGTCCTCGTCATAAATTTGCGGAGGGGGATGAAGTTAATCCGACTTCTTTCGAGTATAACAAGGATATCCAATCGAATTCAATTTATTCCATAGATTTCTTAAATCTTTTATCGTCGCGAACAAGAAAACAATGCAACAGTAACACGAGAATTCTGTCCATAGATTTGTTACGAAATAAAATCTAGTTTGGAACGCATGCGAGCGGTCACTCGTAAATAGAAGATAAACAAATTAATCGCAATGTCGGGTGATTAAAAATTAGCCGCGAGGCTGGTAAGAAGAAAAGAGAGTATATCAAAAATAAAACAAAGTTCGCGTTCTCGTGCGATCGTTTCTCCTTTTTTTTTTTCCTATTTTCTTTTCTCGCTTTTTTTTTTTGGATATTCCAACGACGCAATGATTACGCGACAATCATTTTTATTTTATTAGTTAATTAATCTTGTTGGTTAGTCAATTAACATTTTGAGCTCGTTTCGTCGGCGGACACACGAGAAGAGTTAGAGCTAAGAATCGCGAGAAGAAAATTTTGTCGGCCTCCTTTTGTCCTATCGTTATTTTCACTGTTAATTTTTTCAAGGGACGGGGGAAGCTTTGGGAGAGGATCATCTACAACGATAATGGGGAAAAGAAGGAGATGTAACGTGTATGTGTATATGTATGATATTCGTTTCATTTTTTCGCGAAAATTAATGATGAAGAGAAAGAGAGAGAGAGATAGGAGAGAGAGAGAGAGAGAGAGAGAGCGAAAGAGAGAGAGAGAGAGATAATGATAGGAGGAGATAAGGGAAGAGGGGAGAGAGTGACTAGCGGCGGCGAGCTCTACAACTAAACAACAACAACAGTATTTTCAGTTTATAACAACATTAACAAGTAAGTTTCGCGCGTGTGTATGTTTGCACGACGACGCGCCACGTGTGCCGTATAATGTATATGAGTAGATGTGTGTATGTGTGTGTGTGTATTTAGAAAGTGCATATGCGTATACCTTTGCAAGGTTTATCATATGTATGTAAGTGTAACAATAGTAGGAATAGCAGTATTATAAGTATTGGTATCGGTATAGTAGTAGTAGTAGTAGTAGTAGTAGTAGTAGTAGTAGTAGTGGTAGTAGTAGGAATAGTAATAATAGTAGTAGGGGGCGCGTGTAAAAGTGCGTATGTAGGTGTGACGTTCCCCGCGTTTGTGCGCGCGTGTGCCTAATAAAAGATCTCCTTTCGATAAGTAGACGCACGCGAATGAGAGAGGGAGACAAGTAGAGGAGGAAGAGGAAGAGGAAGAGGAAGAGGAAAAGGAGGAGAGAGCACGAAGACGTATCATCTTGTTTCTCGCGATTGCAGCTCATCGTCGTCTCTCGACTCCGACAAGAATAAGAAGAATAAGAATAAGAATAAGAATAAGAAGAAGCTTGCGAAACGCAACTGCTGCCGCTGCTCTTGTCGTTTGGCAATCGAAAGAGGGAGTTGGCGGAGAGGGTGATGGCGATGGCGATGGCGATGGCGATGACGATGGCGATGGCGACGGCAATGACGACTATGACGCGCGGTGGACGAAGAAGAAGAAGAAGAATAAGATCGATAGCGAGTTTAGGTAGAAAAAGTTCGACAAGATCGAGTTTTTTCGTGGATAGTAGTAATAATAATGCGAGCACAACGGCGACGACGAGAGGGACATCGATAAAAAGTAGAGTAAATAATAGAAGAACAGTGGTGGTGTCCCGACACGGCGATCATCGTCGTCGTCGTGACGCCTCGCTGGTCTACATAACGATAGGCGGTACTTGAACGTAACGATAAATGTAAAGACGATAGTCCTTGCTCGCCAAAACGACCGAACCGTCGTCCATGAGGGCCACGTCGAAGCACTGCGCGTGCTTCACTTTGCTCTCGAGAGCGGACACCAATTGCCCGTCCTGGGTGAATATCGTCAAGTTGAAGTTGTTGTGATTGTCGGCTATCAATATTTCACCGGCAGCATTGATGCCTACCCCGATCGGGTAGTTGGTGATCCCCTCGCCGCCGATTTGACGCAGATACGCTCCCTCGTAATTGAAGACTTTGACGCAGTGCGCGCGGTTGTCGCTGATGAAGATCTCCTGTTTGTCGTTCACCACAACTCCGTTCGGGAACTCGAGGTGTTTCGAGCACCCAAACTTCTGCAACACGTTGCCGGCTTGATCGAATATGATGACGCGCATTACTTTGCACTCGACTACGACGATTCGTCCCTTAGAATCGACGGTGACGCCCCGCGGATGTTGCAAAATGTTGGCTCCGAATTTCCTAACGAATTGCCCGTACTGATTGTAGATCTGTATCTGATGGGTCGGCGATCTCTCGGTGACGATGATGTCCCCGGAGGTGCGCACCACGGCGACTCTGTTCGGGTAGAGCAGTTGCCCGTCCCGTTTGCCGCACTCGCCGAACTGGAACTTGAATCTACCCTCCTTGTCGAAGATCTGTATGCGATGATTGTTCGTGTCGGCCACGATGATGTCGTTCTGAGCGTTTACGGCTACGCCCGAGGGCTCGGTAAATTGGCCCTCCATCACTCCGAATTCGCCGAATTTGCAATGGTAAATCATTTTCTGTCGCTTGATTTGCGACTTTAAAGGGAATATCGTGGCGGACATCAATTTGGAGGTAAGGTCGAGGACGGACTCGCCGGGCGCGGTGTTCGGGGTGACGTTCACCGACGTTGGCATCGGGAAATGGTCGTTGCTCGTGACCACGGGGTAGGAAGCGTCGCTACCCCCGTTGCTCCACTTCTCGTAAGAATTCGCGTTCATGCCGTTTAAATTGAGATCGCTTATGGTCGTTGAGAAAGGCCCGAGACTGTTGGCCGAACTGAAACGTTTGGTAATGACGCTGCTGCTGTTGTTGCTGTCGAACGGCGAGGGGGAAGTCGACGAGGTCACCGTCGAACTCGAGACCAATCCGTTGCTGTAGGGTCGATCCAAAAGCAAACCGCCCAAGGATCCTTGGCTCCCAGGTCCGTTGCTGTTGTTATTCCCGTTGATGCCGTTGCTAGAGAGAGCGGTTGGACGCGCTATCGGTGGCTGCTTGCCGATCGGTCCGGCGGCGTTGTTCTCGCTATTGCTACGAACGTAACCGAACGTGTTTCTAACGCCAACTTGAATGGCTTGATAATTACTGACAAATTCCAAGTCGGATATTTGGTTGGAAATATCTGGCGAATAGCTCATAAACGCTTGGAATTTGGAATCTAATAACTTCTTCACCATAAGTATGTCCATCATCGTTGTGAACTTGATCAAACGTTCGCCAAACTCGCACGTATGCTGCATCTTTTCCATGGTATCGTTAGCCTTTTGCGTGAGAACGCTTATAGAGATCTGTTTCGCGGAGAATACCGATTCGAGTTCTTTCAATAATTCCTGCTTGCGTTCCTCCAGCATGGATTTGTAAAACTGGAAGGTATCGTTAATCTCGTTTTGCGCTTTGTGATATTGAACTTGCAATTTGGCGGCACCGTGGTCGGCGGTTTTAATGGCAGCCCTGACCTCGATTACTTTAGCTCGACAATCTTGTACGGCTCTGGAAATGGCTTCGACTTGCTGTTGACCGATGTCCGACACGTGCGCGTATTCGTGCATCGGACTGAGATGTTCGGTAATCGTGCATTCCTTGCAAACCAATGCCATGCACGACCGGCAAAAATATTTCATCGCTTCCTTGTGTCGTGGACAAATAAAGCTCCTTTCCTCGGTATTGGTACCACCCCCACCACCGCCCCCACCGCCGCCGTTCATAAGTAAATTGTTCTTGGACAATTCGGTAGTGTTGGCATTGCCGCCGGTACTGTTGACGGTATCTATTTTGGAATCACCGAGATTGTGGACTCGGTGGCCTTCGAAACAGTGCATAAACTGATGCGCCATGACGCAGTTGGGGCAAAGGAAATTGGCGCAATCGAAGCAACGCGCTACGGCGTCCGATTCGGTGGACTTGCAGCCGGTACAGCGTACACCGGCGGCGGCGCCTCCAAGACGGCAACGGGGACAGGTCTCCCCGGGTTTCGGTGCGTCGAGGCAGAGGTCGCAACTGTCGACGTCGCAGATCGCAGAGTCGCTCGCAGGGGGGGAACTGCCGCTCACCGTTAGCGGGGACAGCGAGGCCAGGGACCCGAGGGAATTCGCGCGCGATTCCAGCGAGGGTGTCGGCGAGGCCATCTTCAATCAACCGGCATCCCTGAAACAACCAAATTTATTCTTTATTATATCTCTCCAAAACAGATTTATAATATAAGATATACTACGAATACCCAGATGGATGGACACTGGGAGAGAGGGGGCAACGCAGGCTGGCTCTAAGGAATTCACTTCCGGCCAACTCATCCGAGTAGGATCGCAGCCGAGGTAGGCGCTTTCAAGGTCGTGCCAGGGAATGGCTCGCCGAACTCTCGACGTCACACGAGGAAGATTCTCGAGGAAGATTCTCGAGGACCACCCATATGTACATATTTCTATGTATATTCCTACATACACGCGTATACACGACGCGTATTTACGCGTCGCCCACGGCTCGGTATAAAGCAAACGCAAGAGGCTAGATGAAACAAGAGAGATGGACAAATATACGACGAAGGAGAAGGAAAGTTTATATATAAAAAGATTACAAAAATGAATTTAAAGAAATAATAAAATATAAGAGGACGAGAATGGCATTGTTTCTCGTCTACCGATCCTTGACTTCTCTTCGCGAGACTATTCCCACGCGAGTAGGATACCATACCACCTTCCTCGTGGTGTGTACAATACTTTCCTATAGCAAATTCCATCACCTCGTTGTTTCTTTCTATCTCGAGCTCTTTCTCTGTCTTTAAACTTACAACGAGTAAGAGGCAAAGCTCGTCTCTTTAATTAAATCACTTGGGCTGCGGGCAGACGGGTATGTTTCACCTGAGTGCTCGTAGAAAAAGAGAGAGATGGAATGAGATAGAGAAAGAGAGAGAGAGAGAGAGAGAGAGAGAGAGAGAGAGAGAGAGAGAGGGAGAGAGAGAGAGGCACGTTGGTATCCTTCGGAGTCCAAGGTCACCAATACGAAGGTTATCGTACTTCTCCCACTCGGCTGAACGAATTTGCAGACTTACGCTCGACGGCCTAATATTTTTCCATTAGAATTACAAAGAGTGAAGAAAACAAGAAAAGAAGATAGATAATCGTTAGAAAAGAGTTAAGTGAACCGAGAAGAACAAAGAACGTCTTTCCTTGATCAAAACTCTCGAGGAAATGTTCCTAATCAGGGACCAAAGAAATGATTTTCTTCTATGTTCAATGTTCCATCTACTCTTTCCCTTTCTTGGTACATTCGTGCAGGAATTTCGATCGTGTACCGAGATAAGAGGTGAATGCTCCTGAGGGAAATAATTCTCCTTCTTCTCCTTCTACTCCTTCTACTTCTTCTTCTCTCTCTCTCTCTCTCTCTCTCTCTCTCTCTCTCTTATACAGAGAACCAAGGAAATCATGCTTAGCATATTGAAATCGAGATTCTCATACTTAGTTCTATACGTCGGTACGTCGTTGACTCATCATCATCATCATCATCCTGAGTCTATAAACCAGTATTTATTATCTTTAATATAAATTCTGTGTAGAAAGAGATTTATTCGACAAAATATAAAATATTTAAAATCGCTCGATTCTTAAAAAATTTATTTTACGAGGATAGTTATAACATCATTGTCAATTGAATAATAGTAATCGTTTAGTTTGAAACTCGTACGAAATCAATGATGGAACTACGAACAACTGCTACCAACGAAGAAGGGTAACATTAGCGTGGTACGTGTGTGTGTTGGTAGCAGGGTGCGTGCACCCCTCGATCGATGAACGTCGTTCAGGGGTCACGCTGTGCTGCTTGCCTCCCTTCCTTCCTTTCCTCTCTCTTCGCCTACCCTTCATCCGTATGGCCCTGGAGTGGCTCGATTCTCTTTCTCTCTCTCTCTCTCTCTCTCTCTCTCTCTTTCTCTCCCTCTCCCGCACTCTTTCCCCATCCCTTCTCTTCCTCGTCGGCCAGTGCCAGCAGACTGGTAGAAAAGTGGGGAGGACGAACGTGAGAGAGAGAGAGAGAGAGAGAGAGAGAGAGAGAGAGAGAGAGAAAACATCTATAGTACTAGTTCATCCGCCACGATCTACGACCTTGGACGAGAAAGGTCTCGAAGCTGCTCCGAAAGTCGTGAGAAAGTCGACTCTTCTGTTCTCTCCCTCTTTCTCTTTTTTATTTGCAATCCAATTTGATAATTTTCGTTTCATCATTTTGTTGCAATTGTATTTGAGAAAAATAAAATTTCATGACAAAATTTCTTCGAATCAAAGTAAAAGGTTTTACGTGGTATTTCGATGCACTTTTGATAAGAACTTTGACACTGCGATAACCCAATACGTATTTTTCTATCGAGCTAAGGTATTGGAACGTGGAATTTATTCGATATAATGTTTAAAGAGTTTGAGCGAAGAAGTTAAAGAAAGAAAGAAAGGTTCATATCGGAAGTTGGAAAAGAATTCCAATCTCTCGAAAACTTTATTAGAATCGCAAAATCGTTTGGTCTGGTAGCGAAAGTAACAGCAACAGCAACAACAACAGCAGCGGCAACAGCAACCAGCAGAAGCCAGTAATGGAATATCGAAGTCATTGACTTTGGTTAGTTGAAGGGAAAGGGAAAAGAAGAAGAGGAAAGGGGAAAGGAAGAGGAGGATGAGAGTCTCGTAAGTTAGGATCCCACGTCTATACTCTTCTTCCTATTTTCTTTTTCTTCTTGGTGCTTCCGAAGGAGGTAAAGGAGAAGACTGAGAAGAAGACTGAGGAGAAGATGGGATATAGGTATAGGAGTATCCTTTTATTAAAGTACACCGGGCGTCCGAGTACGCGCCAACGGCATTAATTCTACCGGCTGTCTAGGCGATCGGATCTCTCTCTACGGGAGGAACACTCTCAAGGGCGAGCCATAAATCTTGCCGGCCCTTGTCGGGTCACCTTTGTAAAACCAGTACTACTCGGTGAGGCCTGTGCTCTGTGTGTGCATACGTGTAAGCTACGAAGAGTTGTATGGTAAGTGCACAAGGCATAAGAGAGAAAACGCATCTATATTTTATCGAGTCGAAGAAAGAAGATCCTCTATTTTCCTCCTCCGAGATCATCGACGATTTACTAGACAAACAAAAAATGAGCCCTTTTTCCAAGGTTTACAAGCTGCCGTGGTATATTATCTTCTCGAGTCGACGAGTTCCTATCAATTTAACTATAGGCTATTTTCTCTGATGACACGTTTAGCATGGACCGATGGAGATCTCTGCGAAAATGGGGATTAGGGGATGATGATATCATTTTTAATGGCTAAAGGAAGACGTAGCAGCTTTGAGATCTTGCGATAAGATCTTATGCCAAGGGAAGGATTTTAAACGAAGACGTTAGATCAGATAGGTTTGAGAATGTTTCAACTTTCGATATTCTATATAGAATTTGTCGAAAATGAGAAAAATAATAAGAGAGAAAGAGAGAGAGAGAGATAAGGAAGATAAATAATATCAAAATTATAAAGGGATAGGACTACTCTGCGCGTAGATCGATCGGATTAGAGAAATAGTTGGAGAAGATAAAACAACGAAAAAAATAAGACAATAATGGACTGGTACTATTAATCTTGAATCGTCCAAGGTAAAATAAAGTGTAACTGTTGAAATTGAAGGCAGGGAAATGGTAAGAATTTCATAGGGTTGAATTGGGAGGGTGTAAAAGGGAGAGATGGCAGAGAGCAGCCCGGTTGAATGCACTGTAGGAAAGGGTGGCGGACGGCGCGTCTGGTTTCTATGGAAACACTGCATCGACCGCCCCAACCCTCGTCGACCGGGGGTCCGACGAGGGTCGCGTCCGTCACTGTTAAGGTGGGAACGATGGTGGGGACTGATGGTGGGGACGCACGCAGTCGATTCCCTTCCCCTCTCATCCCTCGAGAGAAGGGAATGGCAGCCGGCCGGCGGTGCATCGCCCTTCAAAGCTCCACGGCAATGCGTGTTTCCACTATCTACAGGGTGATTGAGAAATAACGATAGATTCCGCGCTTTTTATCTTCAAATCAATTTTCAGGAACTTTTATTTTATAAATAATAGCAAAAAAATATTAAGATTCGTTTGACAAACGGTATTCGAGATTGTATTATACGTACAAACAAAGAAGCGTTCTTTGTTCATCCAACGATATAAAAATAAAACTTATTATCTATGTAATTTATAAAGAAACAAATCCCTTTCTATTAGAGAGAGAGAGAGAGAAAGAGTAAACATTCGAGTAAAGTTCGCAAAAGATTATTTTCATTGTCAGTGTCGATGAGTATCTGGGATCGATTGTAGACGACAGTCGACCCTTTTCCACGTTGGAAAACGTACATACTGCATACATCGATCTATCCATATATAGGTAGGATACGTAGGTTTTCATTAACGTTATTCGTTCGGAGCGATGACATTCGAGGAATCGATATATACGAGTTCTCGTCGTTTTCTATGAAAAGATATGAGACAGTCGAGCAGGCAGGCAGGCAAGCGGGCGACCGGGCGGGCAACTACGAATACGATTCCGAGAAAGAGAAAGAGAGAGAGGAAGAAGAGTATCAGTTCCTGCTGGATGCTGCAGACTGTTGCAACGAGAGAAAGAAAGAGAGAGAGAGAGAGAGAGAGAGAGAGAGAGAGAGAGGAGAGGATAGGGGTGGAAAAACGAGGCGACGGCCCGGCAGACGTTAGATCGATCGTGTCTGCAAGCCGCGACTTAGGGGGCGGAAACGGAAATGCCGCAGGCGGGATCCGTGTTAAGCTTTTCAAGGCAAAGATAAAGACTTTAATTACCGATTAAATGAAATGCACTTAAATTAACGAGTTTTTTAACTTACTTTCTTTCTTTCCTATTTTTTTTTTTTTTTGAAGTTATACTTCTTTTCGCGCGTTTTGGAAAGTGAAGTTAGATGCGATCGAAAAATCGACACCACGAAGTTGTCGATATTTACGATGCGCGGGAAAATTGAAATTATTTTTGAGGTTATATTCGTTTTGGTACGTTAAAGAAGTATAATTTCTTACGTGCGTACATAAGTACACACACCGGATTTTTTTTTTTTTTAATTTCAATACAGAAGGAGGGGGCGACCTAACGTAATGTTAAAAATTCTTAGGCTATTTTTAGCAATTAATTGCACAAC